ACCCGCCTTGACAGGTCTGCGGGCCAAATGCCCTGCTGACGTTGCTCCTCCTTCGGCTCCTCCGTCTGTTTCTCAACCTTCTCGTGTTCCTCCTTCTCCTCCTTTTTCGCGCCCTCGCGACAGCTCTCCGAATGCCCTGTCGTGGTGTCCCGATGCTGCCGACGCCGAGTCAAAAGGCAAATGTATGAAGATGAAGCAGCAGAGGTTGAAGCTAACACGCACTCTCAAAGACAAGCCAGTACTCAGCTACACCACAGCTGACACAAATGCAAAAGCTCGAGGTGGGGCACGACTGAAGACAAGGCCAAAGCAAAGGCTAGAGCTCCAACTACAGCTCCAGTTGAGGCAAAGCCCAAGCCAAGCTGCAGCAGAGCTCTGCTACTGCAAAAAATAGACAAAGGCCAAAGCTGCAGTCAGGGCTAGGGCTATGTCGAAGCTGACATGGAGCTAGAACTGCACCGAAATCCACATGCCGAGCACAAGCTAGGCTAAGCAATGCTCGGGCCAGCGCTGAATCAAAATATATTGTGACCGCTATCACCTAAGCTAGACCTGGCAGGAAAACCAACTCCGCCGACCCTGCTGGCGTGAGCAAGACGCTGTTACGCTTGACTCGTCGTCGTCGTCGTCGCCGTCGCCGTCGCCGCCGTCGCCGTCGCCGTCGCCCTCGCCACTGCCAGTCCCTTTCCCTAGCACGCGCCAGCCAATTCAAAATCGAGCAACGTCGTAGTTGCGTCGGAGGGAAGCCCCTTCTCCTTGATCCCTTCCCCGACGGGGGGAGGGGAGGCCACCGAGGGAGTGTTGAGGGGGGGGAAGGGGGGAGGGGGGAGGGGTCCCGAGTCAGAATACCATCCCCATGGGAGGCCCCCGAGCCCAAAAAGGCCCCAAGACGGGCCAAGAATACCCCAAGAGGCCCCCAAGACGCTCCAAGAGAGCCCCGAATCGCCGAACAATCGGTCCAAGATGCCCAAGATAGCCTCCAGACGGCCCAAAGTCTCCCAGACGCCCCAAGAGGCCTGCAAGGGCACTCCCAAGAGAGCCCCAAGAAGCAAACCTCATGAAGTGTTCCTCAGGTACTTGACCGATGTTGGTGTTCTCGCCTCTTCGGCTTCCCGACGCCCAAAATGAGGCCCCCAAGATCACCCATAACGGCCCAAGAGTCCTCCAAGAGGGCCCCGAAATGACCCAAGAGGGCCCCAACAGGGTCCAAGAGGCCCCCAAGAGGGCCCCAAGTGGGCCCCCGAGAGCGCTCCGACCCAGGTCAGCGTCGTCGTCGTCGCCGCCGCCGCCGCCGTCGTCGTCGTCATCGTCGTCCCCCTTCAGGGTCGGCGGCACCGGCGGCAAAGTCTTCGCAATATGTCAATGAACGAAATCGACTGCGAAAACAAACAGTGCTGCAAGTCGCGAAACACATGAGCCACCCGTTCGAATCTTCCCGCCCCAATCCAACTGCATGAAGAAAACGAATATCATTGAACGTCGTAAATGTTTACATCTTGAGTGATACAGCAAGGGCGCACTGCGATGACGACTCGCAGCGCATCAAGCCCATGCCGTCGTCGTAGGCGTAGCCTGCAGCATGCAGAGACGGTGGCAGCGGCAAGGAATGCAAGAGGAAGGGGCCGACCTTCGGCCGAGAACGAGGGGTAACTAAAAAGTGCGCACAAGAATCAAGACCGGCCGCTGGAATCTGTCTCTCGGGGATGGACAGACCCCCCTTTAGTAAAACGTGGTTTAGTGAAAACGACCTGAGGCCCAAACCTGGCGGGCGCAGGCCTGGAAAATAACGGCCACGGCGCCCTCTCGAGAACCGAAAACGGACAATTCACTAATCGACTTGTCACTGTTGGGGGTTCTGTCCACCCCCGAGTCCCTGGCGGCACACAGCTATTCCCTGTCACTCTCCTCGGGCGCGCCCCGACCAGGACTCCGACGCCACTCCGGCCGTGGCGACAAAGACTCCCCAAGAGGCAACAGGGGCGAACACTGTGCAGAGGGCCGCGCTCGAGCCTCGGCGTCGGGGAGGCGCCGGGATCTCCCCTGCCCATCCGAAGGGGCCCGTCCAGGGCCAGACCGCCGACCACCTCGCCGATCCGCGCCGGGGGGATCGGCGGTGGACAAGCCTCCCTTCGGTAGACCTCCCCTTAGAGAAAAACGGCCTGGGACAGAAACCGACGGAACTGGACCCGCAACAATGACGGCCGAGGCCCCCTCGCGAACCGAGAAAGGCCAATTCCTTAATCGACGTGTCAGGGTAGGAGGTCTATCAACCTCCGATGCGACGTGTCGACTCGACGGACCCCTGAACCTAGGAGGTCTATCAACCTCCGAGGTCTATCAACCTCAAAACGGCCAATTCCTTAATCGACGTGTCAGGGCAGGAGGTCTGTCCACCCCCGTGGGGAGGACTCGGCCCGTTGTGGCCGCCGCTGCACTGCCTCCTCCTCCTCCTCCTCCTCCTCCTCCTCCTCCTCCTCCTCCTCCTCCTCCTCCCCCTCCCCCTCATCCCCCTCCTCCTCCTCCTCCTCCTCCTCCTCCTCCTCCTCCTCCTCCTCCTCCTCCTCCTCCTCCTCCTCCTCCTCCTCCTCCTCCTCCCCCTCCCCCCCCTCCTCCCCTCCTCCTCCTCCTCCTCCTCCTCCTCCTCCTCCTCCTCCCCCTCCTCCCCCATTCCTTCTCCTTACAGATGCCTGGAGCGGCCGAGGCTGGGCGCAGGGACGGACTGCGGCCAGCAGAGGTCCAGGGCCTCGCGGGGCCCCGCGGGGCTCGCCGGGCCCCTTCGGCAGCGGTGGCTGCGGCTCGAGCAGAAGAGCGCGAGAGAGGACGAGAGCTAGTATGTGTGCATGTGTATATAGATAGATGGATGAATAGATAAGTGAATAGACATGTAGATATATAGATAGATAGATAGATAGATAGATAGATAGATAGATAGATAGATAGATAGATAGATAGATAGATAGATATATAGATAGATAGATAGATATGTATAGATAGATATATAGATAGATAGATAGATAGATAGATAGATAGATAGATAGATAGATAGATGGATATATATATATATATGTAGTTAGATAGATAGCTAGCTAGCTAGCTAGCTAGCTAGCTAGCTAGCTAGCTAGCTAGATAGATAGATAGATAGATAGATAGATAGGTTGATAGATAGATAGGTTGATAGATATATAGATAGATATATAGGTAGGTTGATATATAGATAGATAGATAGATAGATAGATAGATATATAGATAGATAGTTAGATAGATAGGTAGATATATAGATAAATATATAGATATATGTATAATTAGAGATAGATAGATATGTAAACGTATATATACACATAGATATATACATATATAGCTATATATAAAATTGTTATGTATATAAAACGATAGATAGATTGGTAGGTAGGTATGTATATATGAAAAATATATAGTTAGGTAGATAGATAGATAGATAGATAGATAGACGTACATGTATATATAGAGATATATATATATATAGATATATATATATAGAGAGAGAGATGTGTATGTGTGTGTATATATATAGACAGACAGAAAGGGGGAAGCACCGAGGGCCAAACCTGCTCTGCGCCCGCAAACTTGTGCGATGGCTCGACCTGGAGCTCAACAACAAATTCACTGCACCGTCGAGGCGACTCGACTACGGGGAACAAATTCAGCCACAATCACAGCCTGATGGGTAATGTTCTATCTCTTGCACTCTGCGCAAGCGGGGGAAGCACCAAAGGCCAGACCTGTTTTGCATCCGCAACTCTGTGTGATGGCTCGACCCGGAGCGTCAACCAACATGGACTGCACCGTCGAGGCGACACGACCAAGGAAGACAAGTAGTTTAGAGACAATCACATTCCAAAACCAAAAACTCGAACAGCAGCGAATTTGATGCCTGGCCGTCTAGGCCACAACAAATCTGTCCAGGTTTCTAAACGCGTGATTTCGAAGGGCCTGCTGGAAAGGCTGAGCCTCTACGCAGCACAATCCCTTCGGGCATGATTCCGCAATGTGAGTCCAGAAAGTCCCGGGCGAGTCTTTGCCCTCGAGAATATGATGGGGGCGGCGGCTGAAAGCGCAAACTCCACGACCAGAACATTCATGGGGAACCAGGGTATCGAGGTTGAGGTGGCAACAGAGCAGCCGAGTACTTTTCCGCCGCGGCGTGGCGAACGCACAAAAATCTAGGTCCACGGTACGACGGTTACGAGGCCTGGGAGCACCAGGGATGTACCACAGCCAAGACACGCTTGGACTCAGAGTCACTAATGGAATGTTCAACGTGCGTTCTGTTGTTCCCATCGTACTTGATGACCACATCCCAGAAATTGTTTCGAGCACCCAGAAAAAAAAGTATCGAAACAGTGTCGAAACAGCGTCGAAACAGTGTCGAACGAGTGTCGAACGTTCTGTTGTTCCCATCGTACTTGATGACCACATCCCAGAAATTGTTTCGAGCACCCAGAAAAAAAAGTATCGAAACAGTGTCGAAACAGCGTCGAAACAGTGTCGAACGAGTGTCGAACGAGTGTCCCAGCGCCCGACACGTGAAAAACCTCGAGTTTCGGTGCCTTCGTGGT